GAGTCTGTTTTACGTGAGAGTTGGAGTCCGTTGTGTCGTTGCTACTCGTACCTGCAACTGTTTGACAACATGCCATACTGTGTCACAGGAGCACGAGTGCGGAGTTGGTGCAAAGCGCGTGCACAGGTAAGAAAGGGCTACACTTTGTGCAAAAGTTCCTCCTTAGCTCCCTCCCTCCCTCTCTCATTCCTTTCTTCCCTCACCTTACCCACAGTCCTCTTGGACCCTTACCCGTCTCTCAATTCCTCTCTACCAACCTCTTTTCTTTTGTTTCACCTTCTTGAATCGTCGGCAAAGGTGTAACATCTTTCTTCTCTCTCTCGATTCTGACATATTGTAGTTCTTCGAGCTTCCTTGATTGCTCACCGATCATTTGCCCTTCCGTTGGGGCCTGCGTTGCATTGATTTCATGCGGCATATGGTCGGCTGCTTCACAAATTTTGATTCATTATTCGGAGTCTGTTTGTTTTCATAATAAACAGGCTATTGCCACTAAACTTCATTTCACCCATTTGTACCCACTCAATGCACATGCGATTCCCATCCCGTACTTTTGGCCCTTGTGTTTGCTCTGCTTGCAACCCTTGATGAATGGGCCAAGATCCAGAAAGACCCTGTGTCTCCTGCTGCTGCTACTACTGCTGCTGTGGCTGCTGCAAAGAAAGCTGACAATTCCACCCCACCAGTAGCCAATGCTGTTACTGCCAGTGGAAATTCTACCTCTGGAAACATCACATCGGAATCACCAGACATGTCCAACAAGGGCAGAGAGGCTGCTAAAAAAGACTCTGACGGGCAGTTAGCGAAAGGAGGGGGAAAGGCTTGGGAGAAAGAAGGGAAGAAGGGTGAGGAGACAGGAGTGGGGAAGGGAAGGGAGAAGATTGGGGGGTCTGCCAGTGGAGAGAAGCAAAGGGGGGAAGTGACTGGGTCGAGGAGGGAGACGGAGAAAGAGAAGAAAGCGAGAGAGAAGAAGGAGAAGAAGCAGCAAGAAAGGGAGAAAGCGAAAAAGAGGAGGAGGCTGCAAAAAATAGAAAAAGGGAAGCAGAGAAGAAGGTGAGGGAGGCTACCGAAAAGGCGAAACGGATGGACGCAGAGAGGGCGAGCAGAGAGGCGGAGAAGAGCAAGAATATGATGAGAAAAATGGGGAGCAAGAGATTAAGTAAGCTACTGTCAAGGAAAAAACAGGGGTAAGAGCAGCATGGAAGCAAATTCAATGTGCTCACGAGGAATTTTGAAGAAGTCCGTTTTATGGAAGAATACTTGGACACGAATGCTCTATAATCGAGTTAAAAAAATATATATATGCGCTGTAACGTAGTCCTTTTGGATGTAGAAGTGGTTGTACGTAGATCTGCGCCTACAACGAATTTGGGGCACGTGGATGGGTTTCCCGCGGAAACGTGCCAACTTGTTCAGAACAAAGTTTCGCGCCCAAGGGCGATGTCAGGTTATGCATTTCACAGGTGCTTACAGTTCCTGTATCGTGGTTCAGGACGGTCCAACACGGTGAAAAACGTTTCTCGACATTTAACGTTCTGCACCGTGCTGAAACGCAGTTCACCGCACTAGGCGTACAAAAAGTTGCAATTAGTTGTACAACCTGACGTCGCCCTAGGTGTGCGAGTGCGACCCTGCTACTAGCTGGTTACACATCTGAATTTTTTTCGGACTCAAAGCTCCATGAGCGATTGTCAAGTGTCAGTCACCCTCCAAGGCTTCTTTTGTCGTGTCCTTCCAGCCCCAGTCACGGAGCCAAGGGAGTTACGCGCCTGCCAAGCGCGACTCCATTTGTTCAGGGCGTGGCTGAACTCGCATATCTAGCCTAGGATTTTGTCGCATTTTTCTTGGGTCTTTGCTGGGGCTCCTTTGTGAAATCTTGTTTTCTCTGATGGGGTTTGCCTCTCGACGCAAGCCTAAACGCTTATGTGCGGCCAAAAGGCGGCGCGGCGCGGCGAAAGAGCGCGAGTTACTGCTGGAGATTGCGACGGTCGCGTCGACGGCGCAGCTGGCGTTCGGGGAGATGGCGACGCTGTGCCGCGCCGTTTTCGGCACGTTGTGCCGCCACCACAGAGTTCTTATTAGCCTCGCGTTAGCCTCTCAATAGCTTCGCGTTCGGGCAGATGGCTTCGCTTTGCCGCGCCGCCGCCGGTACGTTGTGTCGCCGGCGCAGAGAAGATCGTTCTAGCCTCGCATTAGCCTCGCATTAGCCTCGCATTGGCCTCGCATTGGCCTCGCGTTACCCTCGCATTAGCCTTAGACTTGCATTAGCCTTAGCCTCGCATTAGCCTCGCATTACCTTAGCCTCGATATAGCCTCGCATTAGCCTTAGCCTCGCAATAGCCTTAGCCTCGCATTAGCCTTAGCCTCGCGTTAGCCTCGCATTAGCCTCGCATTAGCCTCGCATTAGCCTCCCATTAGCCTCCCATTAGCCTCGCAGTAGCCTCGTGTTCGGGCAGATGGCCACACTGTGCCACGCCGCCGTGGGTGTGTGCCACAGGGAGAGAAAGAGAGAGGAAAGCCAGCCTCGTCTCGTGCGCACGTTCCAGGCGTGTTTGCTGCGCGTGCGTACTGTGCGTGTGTGCTGCGCGTGCGTACTGCGCGTGTGTGCCGCACGTGCGTGCCGCGCGTGTGTGCTGCGCGTGCGTGCTGCGCATGCGTGCTGTGCGTGCGTGCTGCGCCTGTGTGCTGCGCGTGTGTGCTGCGCGTGTGTGCTGCGCGTGTGTGCCGCGCGTGTGTGATGCGCGTGCGTGCTGCGCCTGTGTGCTGCGCGTGTGTGCCGCGCGTGTGTGCTGCGGTCTCTGGTAGCATCGCCTAGCATCGCGGACCGGACGCAGATCAAATCACATTAGCCTCGCGTGTCCCTTCGCCATCTCGCGCCCGTCGCGAATGCTTCTCCTCATATTGCATCCCTTTGCCGCCATTCCAGACTGCTTGCACTCTGTTCTTCGAACCTCCCCTTGTTCCCTCCTCGTTTTGTATCCCCTCGCTCCCCCCGCTCCCCCCTTACCCCTTTCCCATCTCTCGTTCCGCTATTACTCCTCTCCCCTTCCACCGTTCTCCCCCCCCTCCCACTCCCCAATCCCTTTCCCCCCTACCCCTTTCCCAGCTCTTGTTCCGCCATTTTTCCCCTCCCCCTCCACCGTCCCCCTCCCCTCCCCTCTTCCTCCTCCCACCTCCAACTTTAACCCACAACCCCTCCCCTCCTCTTCCCGTTTTCTCCCCCCACCCTTAAAACCCAACCTTTCCCCGCTCCCCTCACGAGGCGGAGCGCGCTTTCCCGCTCCCCCCACGAGGCGGAGCGCGCTTTCCCGCTCCCCCCACGAGGCGAAGCGCGCTTTCCCGCTCCCCCCACATGGCGGAGCTGTTGGCGGAAATGAACCCCCTTTTTCTGTTTCAACTTTCTCCCAAACCCCCCTGTCCCCCTCCCCCATCCTCCCCCCGCCTCCCCCCGCTCCCCCACCAGGCGGGGCGCGCATCCCAGCGGGCGCCACAGCGGATCTGCTGGTAGAGCTCGCAGCCTCCGCCACCATGGTCCCTGCCCAAATCGAGGCGCTCGCGCGCGCCGCCAGCTACCCTGGGCCAGCTGCTGCTGCTGCCAGCTACCCTGGGCCGGCTGCTGCTGCTGCCAGCTACCCTGGGCCGGCTGCTGCTGCTGCCAGCTACCCTGGGCCGGCTGCTGCTGCTGCTGCCAACGCCGCGAACAACGCGCCTGCTGCTGCTGGCTACCCCGGACCTGCTGCAACGAACGGCGCTGCGGCAGCTGTAGCTGCGACAGGTGCGACTGGTGCGACCGCAGGAGCTGGTTTGTCAACTGAGATGGATGAATTAGCTGAGATGGTTGCGACGTTGCCTGCTCGTATCGCCGAGTTCACGGACTTGGTTGCAATTGCTCTGACGCACTTGCGAGAGAGGGAGGCGAGGGAGGAAGAAGCGAGGGAGGAAGAAGCGAGGCAGGACGAAGCAAGGGAGGAAGAAGCGAGGGAGGAAGAAGCGAGGGAGGAAGAAGCGAGGGAGGAAGAAGCGAGGGAGGAAGAAGCAAGGGAGGAAGAAGCGAGGGAGGACGAAGCGAGGGAGGACGAAGCGAGGGAGGAGGGGGAAGAGGGAGAAGGGGGAGAGGAGGGAGAAGACGGGAGCAGGGAGACGAGGGAGAGCAGGGTGGGGACGTGGCAGTGGGGCTGGTGGAGGTTGCTGAGCAGGCAGAGGAGGAAACGAGGGCTCACAGGGATGATGAGGAAGAGAAAGGCGAGAAGGAGGGTGAAAGTGGAGGAGAGAGGGTGGAAGAGAGCAACAAGGCGGGTTCAAGTGCAAGTGATGCGACAAGGTGGGCACCTGAATTTTGATTCGATGTTTGTCATCTTCAATTGCATAAAGAAATTGTATACAGTGCAAAGCAGTTTTTCAAGTTACAGCAAATCTGTAGCCATACTTCACTGGACTTTTTTAACAATTCTTCTAACTCTGAATTGGTTCTCCGCTTTTATCGAGTCGTCGCCGTGTGAAAAGCACGAAAAGGTTTCGTCAGGCGTCGCCGGGTCACCACTGTGTCAGTTTCGTCGGCGCACATCTCATGCTTGTTTCGTGACAGATGTCCGAATGGGGGCAAGAATTCTTCGCAACGGGCACCACCTTTGCTGACCTAACGTGCGAGTCGCCTCGCGACATCAGGTAACCTTTTTCGACGGAATCTTTGGGAGGAGAAAAGTCCCGTCGCGTACTTCGCTCACTGCTTGAATCAAGCCTTTCAGGTTTTGGCTAGCTTTTCTGCTTTTGACGGCACGGGAATCACCTGCTTGATAGTTTTATCTCTTGAACCCGCCAGAGAGGAACCATTCTAAGCCAAGATTTGTCCGTTCATTGAAAGCCTTGAGTCGAAGCTGAAATTAGTACTCAGTATTATTACATCTCTCCGACCAGCCATGGACGACCTGAGCAGCGGCGCACATTGCGCGGGTAATGGTCAACGCGAGAGGCTGCTGGCGATAGCGAGCGTCACCAGCAAAATGCAGGTCGCGTTTGGCGAAATGGCGTCAGTTTTTCGCCTCGCTGCAGGTCCGTGCTCCAAAAGATCGTCGCACGGGTGTCGCGCGCTGCTTCCACTGCTGGCAAATGTCGTGCTGGCAAATGTCGTCGCTGCTTGACCGGAATCCACACAGTGTTCAATCCCCGCCAGACTTTCCCTTCTAATTTTCCTCCGATCTGCTATTTTTCCCGACCGATTCTCGTTCGTTCGCGGAATCTTCATTTCCGCATTCACTTGGCGTGACTTACTAGCTCGGCCAAATCCACCGGGCACTCAATCTCGCAGCCATTTGTCCGTTTAAGTCGCCTATTCGCAAGTTATGCGCTTCAAACTTCTGCCCAAACGAAGAACTGTACTATCATTTTTCCCTGTGGTTGATAAGCTTTACGTTCCCGTGACCAGCTGCCTATTGGATCGGCCACGTTGCGTCCCCTTCCCCCTTTCCCCCCCTTCCCCCTTCCCCCCCTTCCCCCCCAACCCCCTTGGCTCCTTGCCTTCTTCCTTCGCCCCCATCCTTTCCCCATCCCCCGCACCCTCTTCCCTTCCCCTCCCTTTCCCCCTCCCCCCCCCTCTCCCAGCCGGCGAGTGCGTGCCAATGGACAATATGCTGCTGCGCCAGCTCGCCTTTGGGACTTCGCAACCCCAAAACCCTCAACCCTTCCACTCCCTTCCCCCTCCCAAACCCCGCAACCGGCGAGCGCGTACCGATGGGCAATCTGCTGCTGCGCCATCTCGGCTTTTGGCACTTCGCAACACCCAAACCCTCACCTCCCCCCACTCCCTCTCCCCACTCCCTTCCCCCAACGTTCTTCTCCTTCCTCCCCCTGCTCTCTCTCCGCCCCCGCCCCCACATCACCACTCCCCATCTTCCCCCAGCCAGCAAGCGCGTACCGACGGAAAACCTCCTGCCGTTTCAGCTCGACTTTAGAGACTTCTCAACCCAGACGCCTCCCCACCCTCCCCCCTCCCTCCGCCCACACACTCCCTCACCCCAGCCGGCGTGCACGAGCCGACAGAATACCTCCTGTTCCAGCTCGCCTTTTTGGACGCCTCAATTCAACCCCAAACCCCTCCCCAACCCTCACCGCCCCACCCCTCCCCCCCTCCCTCCCTTCAGCCGGCGAGCGCGTGCGCATGGACAAACTCCTTTTTTTCCAGCTCACCGCTCCCCTCTTCGACCCTCTTCGCCTCGCCGCCCTGCAAGAGGAAGAAGTTGCTGCTGCTGGCGCCCGAGAAGAGGAGAGGAGAGAGGACAGGGAGGAGAGAGAAGAGGGAGACGAGCGAGAGGAAGGAGACGAAGCAGAGGAAGGAGACGAAGCAGAGGAAGGAGTAGAAGCAGAGGAAGGAGTAGGAGAGGAAGGAGAGGACGAGGCAGTGGGGCTGGAGGGTACTGAGCAGGCAGAGGAGACAAGGGCTCGCACGGATGAGGAGGAAGACCGAGTCGAGAAGGAGGACAAGAGTGGAGGAGACCAGGGGGAAGAATTCAACAATGCGGGTGTGCGTGCAGGTGATGAGAAGGCAATGGGCGGCAGTGCTGACGTGTCACTGGGTGGTGCTGACAAGGCAGAGGCGAGGAGAGGAGTCAGCGATTTCGCCAGGGGGAGTGGAGGGAAGGTAAAGCGGAAGCAGATGAGGCAAGTGAATGAGGGAACTGGTGGTGGTGCTGCTGAGGGCAAGCAGTCAAAGCGGAGGAGAGCAAAGAACATGTGATGTGCATACTACGGGAAAGTTGGAGGTGGATAGTAGATAAGATTAGTTAAATTAAGGTGGACAGAAGATATTTGGTTCGAAATTAGTCATTGTCAGTGGCTTAAAAAAATTGTGCCAGGCGAACCCTGTGCTGCCGCAGTAGACTGAACTTGTGGCTCCTTCGACCCCTCTATTCTGTTCAAGTGCACAAAAACCTATTCATGTTTACGGTGCAAAGCAGATATGCAAGCTTTAGGAAATCTGTAGCCTTATTTCACTGTACTTATCTGTCAATGTTTTGAAGTTTTGAATTGGTTCTCTATAATCCAGCCCTCCCGGACGGGAAGCACGTAAAGGTATCGTCAGGTGTCGCCAAGTCACCACTATGTCAGTCTCATCGTCGCACATCCTATGCTTGTTTCGTGAGAGACGATATTTGAACCGAGGCAAAAAACCCTTGCACCGAGAACCACCTTTGCTGACCTAACGTGCTAGTCGCCTCGCGACATCAGGTAACCTGCTTCGGGGGAGATGTGGGAGGGGGAAAGTCCTGTGCTGTTCTCCGAAGCAGTCCAGTCAATTGATTATTGAATCGAGCTTTGGGTTTTTGGCTTGCCTTTCTGCTTTTCACTGGCAGGCAATTGCTCGACAATTTGTTTCTGTTGAACCCGCCAGGGTAATCATTCTAGGCCGTCAGTTCATGTGAAAACCTGAGTCGAAGCTGAAGTTATTGCTCACTATTACGTTAATTATTCTCTTTGACTCGCCATGGACGGACATAGCAGCGGCGCGCAATGCGCGGGTAACGGTCAGCGCGAGAAGCTGCTGGCGATGGCGAGCGCGGCCATCAAAATGCAGGTCGCGTTCAGCGAAATAGCGACAATTTGTCGCCTCGCCGCAGGTCCGTGCTCCAGCTGTCGCACAATCGCACAACCGTCGCGCAAGTGTCGCACAGCTTCTGCTGCAAATGGCGTCGTCATCGTCCGCCGAGATTCTCTTCTCGATCTGCGTTTTCTCTCTTGTCCTTCCTTCGTAACATTTCCAATCCGTAATCAACATAATAAAAGCGTGCAGCCACTTTTCCCATTGGATCGTCTGCGCGCTCGTGCAGTCACTGTGTTACAACACGGTGTTACAGCAAACTGCTTACAAACAAAACATCCGGATCTTGACTTTTGAGTCGACTCAAAAGTCAACTGTGTTACAACGCGGTGTTACAGCAAACTGCTTACAAACAAAACATCCGGATCTTCACATTCTCGTGTCTCCTTGTGCGCTCGTCCCACCTGCATACCGAATCGCCTACATTGCTCCATTCGTCGAACCTCTCCATTTCTCCGATTTATCTTCCCGACCCGCCCCTTTCCCCTCTCCCTCTCTCCTCACCCCCGCTACCCTCACCACGGCCGGCGTGCGCGTGCTGACGAATAGCCTGCTGCTGCGCCAGCTCGACTTGTGACACGTGTCAACCCGCAAAGCCCCTCTCTCCCCTCCTCTTCCCGCTCCACCCTCCCTCCTCCCAGGCACTCCCTCCCCACGGCCGGCGTGCGCGTGCTGACGGAGAGCCTGCTGCTGCGCCAGCTCGACTTGTGACACGTCTCAACCAGCAAACCCCCTCTCTCCCCTTCTCCCCTCCCTCCCCTCTCCCTCCCCCCTCCCTCCCCCCAGACAATCCCTCCCCCCAGCCGGCGTGCGCGTGCCGACGGAAAACCTCCTTTTGGTTCCAGCTTGTCTTTTGAACCGTCTCAAGTTCTCAACCCCCCAACCACCCACACACCCCCTTCCCCCCCCCTCCCACCCCCCTCCCCCTTTCCTCCCCTCCCAACAGCCGGCGTGCGCGTGCCGACAGGCAACCTCCTTCTGTTCCAGCTCGCCTTTTGGGACGTCTTTCAACCCCTAAACCCCCTTCTCAGCCCTTTACCCCCCCCCCCCCCCCCCCCCCCCCCCCCCCCCCCCCCCCCCCCCCCCCCCCCCTCTCTCTTCCCTCCCTGCCCCGCAGCCGGCGTGCGCGTGCCCATGGACAATCTCCTGCTGTTTCAGCTCGCCGCCACCGCTCCCCTCTTCGGCCCTCTCCGCCTCGGCATTCCCAACCCTCAACCTCTCCCTCCCTCGCTCCCCTTCCCTACAGCCGGCGTGCGCGTGCCCATGGACAATCTCCTGCTGTTTCAGCTCGCCGCCACGGCTCCCCTTTTCGACCCTCTCCGCCTCGGTGCCCCGCAACCCACACCTTTCCCCGCATCCGCGCTGGCCCCAGCGCCATCCCCCGCTCCCGCGCCCGCGCCCGCCACCGCGCCTGCGGCGGCCGCCCCCGATCATCCGCGCATCACGATCCTCGACCCCCCACCTCCGCGACACCCTCTCGCCGTCGTCACCGCCGCTTTTGCTGCTGGCGGCGCTGCTGCTGCTGGTGGTGGTGGTGGTGCCGCTGCTGGCGCGCATGCCACCAACGCCCCCCGCGCGCGCCCTGCGCTTTCCGACGTCTCTCTGACCTCCACTCTCACCACCGCTTCCCACGCCGCCCCCCTCTCCCCCACTAGTGCGCGCAGGGCCTCCCCTCCTCCAGCCGGCGCGCGGGGAGCGGGCGAGGGGCGGCCGCTTTCACTGGTCGAGATAGCTATGGGGCACTTTTGTGATTATTATAGCGCTAGGTTGATGGAGGAGACGCCAGGGTTGCGGCCGGAGCAGGCTTACCGCTTGGCTGAGAGGCGGTTTAATGAGGAGTCGGGGCGGACTGGGGCGAGAAGGAGACGCGTGGAGGGCGGGTGGCAGGCGGTGTTGGGGACGGTGGGGGAGGAGGTGGGGGAGGTGGTGCAGGAGGAGGAGGTGAGGGGAGTGGAGGGGGAGAGGGAGGAGGTGAGAGGAGAGGAGGTGGGGGAGGCGGAGGGGGAGGGGGAGGAGGAGAGTGAAGGGGAATGGGAGGAGGAGGAGGGGGAGGAGGAGGAGGAGGAGGAGGAAGAGGAGGAAGAGGGGAGAGGGGAGGAGGAGAGGAGGGAGAGGAGGATGAGCAGGAAGAGGAGGGAGGAGGGGATGGGGGTGAAGAGATGGAGGAGGGGGAGGTTGGAGAGGGGGAGACGGACGACGAGTATGAAGAGGGAGAAGACGAGAGCTAGGAAGCAGTGTGAGGGAGGAAGGCAGGCGGAAAGCAGAAGGCAGGGGGAAGGCAGGAATGCAGAGTTGCTGGTTGGAGGGCAGAACAGGGAGAGTAAATGGGGAGGAGAGTGAGGTGAAGATGGAGGGAGATGGAAGGTGCGTCTGTCATGGGCCGCAGATGGATCCTTGTTGCTACTGCAGGGCATGCGCTGTGTCGGGTGTTACTTCGTGTGTGCAGCAAATTACATGCAGTGCGTTGACCAATCCGAGTGATTGTGACTCATTTTGTTGACCTCGTTTTGACATGTCTATTTTGCGTTCTAAATTAATCTGAGAATCATGTTTTGCATTTCAGTATAATAAGCATTTTTGCGGTGTACGCAAGTATGTGCGATATGGTGCTGAAATGAGGTTCAAATGGGTTTGCTTGCTGGGATCGGAATGTCAGCAGTTGAGCGTACATCTGCCTTGTTACTCCAGCAAGCAACCCATGGTTGCCACCTGGCTTCAGCTGGCGGCTCGGGGAACCACGTCGGCTCCAACCAATAAAGCATGTGTGATTCGTCAGCCAGTCGTATGATATTGACTCTCGTGCGACATCGACTTACGAACCTCGGCTTCCCGCGTTTCTTGCCCTGGTTCGGTCGGAGGTCAGCGGTTCGGTTCAACCAGGCGTGTCTCCTTTGGCTGTCTGCTATGTCGAATCTCTCGCGGGCTTCCAAGACTCGTTCATTAGCCGAACCTCTTCCATCTGGCTCGTCAAGTGTGGCTCCCCCACTCACATGCACATCCCTACCTAACCAAACCGAACCTCGTTGCTGCCACACCTAGACCCCAGCCCAGCTTTAGGCTAAATCGTTGGAATTGGAAAAGCTAACTAGTAAGTAGCACTCTGGACTTGTTCGTGCTGAATTAGTTGCATGCGCTCCGTGTTAGTTTCGGGAATTTCCCTGCTTCGTTATCTAACCTCGGCGTTGCTGCTAACGGCGAGGTGTGCGAAAGTTCAAGTTTGTTACTAGCGAGTTTCCAGCCTGGCCAATTAGCTCACTTCACAACGGAGCCTCGTAGCTAGTAGTAGCACAATTATCGTGTCGCAGTTCGCGAATTTCGCACAGGAGTGACTACCGCGGGACTGGCGATGGCGGCACGCGTCGCGCCGTACCCGGAGACGGCTGGGCCGGCTCTTGAGACGTCTCAAAAGATGACGGGGCCGGCTCTTGAGACGTCTCAGAAGACGGCTGGGCCGGCTGTGCAATCACCTGACACCAAGCCGCCGCACCTCCAACCGAAGCGCGCTGTTGAATCTACCGAGACCGGCGTCGTGAAAGCGGGAGCGGCGACGGCAGGCGGCGCAGCGGCGGACGCGTCGCTGGCGGCGCGGTTCGCGGCGGCGCGGTACATGTCGGGGTTCGGCAACCAATTCGAGAGCGAGGCGCTGCCCGGAGCGCTTCCCGCGGGGCGCAACAACCCGCGCGTATGTCCGTACGGGCTGTACGCGGAGCAGCTCACGGGGACTGCGTTCACCGCTCCGCGCAAGGAGAACCAGCGCAGGTGGGCCAGGGGGTCTCGTGGGGGGGAGGAAGGGGGGAGAGGGATAAGGGGGAGGAAGGGGGAGGAAGGGGGGAGGGGGGAAGGGGGAAGGGGAGCGCAACAACTCGCGTGTGTGTCCGCATGGGCTGTACTCAGCTTGCAAGGACTGCGTTCACTGCTAGGAGAACCAGCGCAGGTGAGGGGGGGCCTCGTGGGGGGAAGGAAGGGGGGGAGAGTGGGAGGGGGGGAAGGGGAGCGCAACAGGTCGCGCGTGTGTGTCCGCATGGGCTGTACGCGGCCTGCAAGGACTGCGTTCACTGCTCCGCGCAAGGAGCACCAGCGCAGGTAGGGTGGCGAGGGGGAGGGAGGGGGAGGGAGGTGGAGGGGAGGGGGAGGGGGAGGGGGAGGGGGAGGGGGAGGGAGGGGAGGAGACATGGGGGAGACAAGGAGGCAGGCGATTATTTTTTCAGGCAGTCTGCTCTATCACTCTCGCATCCCTGTTTCTCCCACCCGTACTCGCATGCCCATGTTCTTCCCTTTCGAGACTTCTCCCGTTCCTGCTTGCTTACTAGTTTTGAGGCGCCTCAAAACCAGTCCGCTCTATCACTCTCGCATCCCTGACTTTCCCACCCGTACTCGCATGCCCATGTTCTTCTCCTTCGAGACTTCTCCCGTTCCTCCTTACTTCCCCGCTTTTCCCCACTCCCCACCACTCCCCCACCTAGCTGGCTGTATCGCATCAAGCCCTCAGTGACCCACCAGCCCTTCTCCCTGTGTGCAAGATCTTATTTCAACCTCCCCATTTCCATTCCCCTTTCCCCCGTCCTCCCGCACCCACCCACCCACCCGCACACCCCCTCAGCTGGCTGTACCGCATTAAACCGTCCGTTACCCACCAGCCGTTCACCCCGTGCCCACCGCACCGCAGCAACCCGCTTCTCGTGAGCGACTTTTCTTCCAGCAGCACTGCAAGCGAGGCAACACCGAACCAGCTGCGCTGGCGCGCCATGCCTGTGCCGAGCCTGGAGGTTCGGCAGGTGGACTGGGTGCAGGGGCTGGTTACAGTGTGCGGGAGTGGCGGCGCCGCAGAAAAGACAGGCTTTGCCATCCACATGTACGACATGCTGTGTGTTGACTTTTTAAGTTGAAGTCAGTAAGACAGGCTTTGCCACCCACATGTACGACATCTGTGGTCTAAGATAAGACGGGCTTTGCCATCCACATGTATGACTAGCTGTGCTTCGCTTTTGCCAATTGCTGTGAGACTTTGTTTCCTGGATTCTTCTTTTCAACCCTTCACGCAACCCCTCACCTCATCCCTTCCTCGCACCGTCCACATACCATCTTCACCCCCTCCTCACTCCCTCCTCACCCCCTCCTCACCCCCTCCTTGCCCCCTCCTCACCCCCTCCTTGCCCCCTCCTCACCCCCTCCTTGCCCCCTCCTCACCCCCTCCTTTCCCCGTCCACACATCCTCAACACGCTCTCTCGTTCACGCCCTCACGAGCTCTCGCTCTCACCCTCCCGCGCTGCTCCGTCATCCTCTCACACTGTTCCACCCACTCGCCCACTCTGTTCCGCTCCTCGCCTCTCTCCACCCACTCTCCTCTCGACTGTCCCTTCTGCTAGATTCACTTTCATCCAGCCCTGTTGACATGGCATGGCATGGCATGGCGTATCATCATGGCATGGCAATCATCATGACATCCTGGCGTGAGGTTATGTCGTCATGATGACATGGTATCATGTGGCATGGCATGTGTTCGAAATGGCATCATGCATTGTGACATGGCATGGCATGGCATGGCATGGCATGGCATGGCAGGTATGCAGCCAACAGCAGCATGGAGCGATGTGCATTCGCCAATGCTGATGGAGACTTGCTGATCGTTCCACAGCACGGCCGTGAGTCTCCCATTCCCCCCATGCATGCAGTGAGTGCTTCTTGCCATCACAGCACGGCAGGTACGTACGCAGCCAACAGCAGCATGGGATGTCATGTCATTACGGCACACCACAGCACGGCAGGTACGTATGCAGCCAACAGCAGCAGCATGGCATGTCATATCATCACGGCACTGAACGGCAGGGAAGCAGTCAACAGCAGCATGGAGCGATGTGCATTCGCCAATGCCGACGGGGACTTGCTGATCGTTCCGCAGCACGGCCGTGAGTCCCCATGCCCCACTCCTCCATGCCCCACTCCTCCATGCCCCATTACACGGGCTTCCCATGCTCCTCCCTTTCATGCCCTTCTCATTCATTCAACGCGGACGGGGACCTGCTGATTGTTCCGCAGCACCGCCGTGAGTCATTCTATGCTCCAATAGTCATTCTATATCCCATGGCATGCGCCACTGCATAGCTCTTTCATCCAAAATCCAATGTGCACAGGGACTGCTGATTGTTCCACAGCCTCATGCCCCATGTCCCATAGCATCCGTCACTGCATAGCCCTTTCATCCAAATTTCGATGCGGACAAGTCAGGGACCTGCTGATTGTTCCGCAGCATGGCCGTGAGTTCCCTTCAGGCCCTCTTGCTTGCGCTCTGAAGGATCAGTGTTGGGACCACGAAAAGGGTACGCGGCAAACTTACACGAGCCATGGGAGTTGTTTTATTACACACATGTATGGAGCAGCATCACGGACATGCACAAGTGCAAAGAAAATGTAAAAAAAAAAAAAGACGGGTGGGATCATGCTGGGACCACAAAATGCCACGCGGCAAAAGACAGAATTGTGCCAGCCGGGAATCGAACCCGGGTCTGCACCGTGCTGCCGTGGCAGGGTGCTATTCTACCACTAGACCACTGGCACTCAATTGGATGGCATCTTGCCTCACTGCATTTCTACTAAAATGCGCGAGATTCTTTCACATCCAGAGGATATAGCAGTTGTGCAGCACTTGGTGCGCTTCTTCCCTATCCAATTCATCCGACTTTTGAGGCGCTTCAAAAGTCGCCTCAAGAGGCGCCTCAAAAGGATTCTTTCACATCCAGAGGATATAGCAGTGGTGAGCTTCTTCCCTATCCAATTCATCCATGCCCCCACTTTCCCACTCCTCACACCACCCATTCTCCCATCCACGCCCCATCCCCTCCTGCAGGTCTGTAGGTGACAACGGAGCTCCGTCTGCTGGCAGTGCACCTAGGCGAGATCGCAGTGGTGCAGCAGGGGGTGCACTTCTCCCTTTCCCAATACCCCCATGCCCTCATTCTCCCTTCTTTTTACTCGCTACCTTCCCAGGCCTGTGGATCATCCGGGCTAGCAGTCCATCCGGGCGAGATCGCAGTGCTGCAGCAGGGGGTGCGCTTTTCTCCCTTTCTTAATACCCCCAGTCCTCATTCTCCCCTCTTCCCACACCCTATCCCCCCAGGCCTGTGGATCACAACAGGATTTGGGTTGCTAGCACTGCACCCGGGCGAGATAGCAGTGGTGCAGCAGGGGGTGCGCTTTCCTACTTCACCCATGTACCCACTCCCTCCTCTTCCCACTCCCTCCTCTTACCACACCCCATCCCCCCAGGCCTGTGGATCACAACAGAGTTTGGATTGCTAGCAGTGCGCCCAGGCGAGATCGCAGTGCTGCAGCAGGGGGTGCGCTTCGCAGTGCACCTGCCTGACGGCCCCTCCCGGGGCTATGTGTGCGAGGTGTATGGAGGGCGCTTCCAGCTGCCTGAACTGGGCCCCATAGGTGCGTTGCACACTTCTCAGCCCCATCGCAGCAGGGGGTGCGCTTCGCAGTGCACCTGCCTGACGGCCCCTCTAGGGGTTATGTGTGCGAGGTGTTTGGAGGGCGCTTCCAGCTGCCTGAGCTCGACCCAATAGGTAAGACTGGCAACCCAGAGTCAGCCTCTCATTCCAGGGGCTAAATGAATATAGCAGCAGTGCAGCAGGGGGTGCGCTTCGCAGCGCATCTGCCTAACGGCCCCTCCCCGGGGCTACGTCTGCGGGGTGTATGGGGGGCACTTCCAGCTGCCAGAGCTCGGCCCTCACCTAAGTTGGATCTTACGCGTACGTTTACGTACGTTTTAAGTTACGTGTGCGGATTAAAAATACGTTTACGTTTGCGGGCAGGTTAGAATATTTTTGGGCTGCCCAACAAACAACATTGTGCCCTCTTTTCGGCTGTAGATGCACAACCAAAGGGTGGTTCGACGATGTTTCAACCACCACCCAGATAACTTGCGGTGACGGGTTCCATGTGCTGGTTTACCAACCCGGGTACACATTCCCCCCTCCTCCCACTCACATAATTGCAACATTGTTTATCTCAGATCCCGCCTCTTGTCCCGCGCCCTTAGTCGATGGCCACGCTTGACAAAACCTTTCCCTGCCCGGACATATGTTACGCAAATTTTCACGTACGTACGCGCACGTTTACGTTTACGCGTGACGTTACAATTACGTGGTTCCAAAAACGTACAGACCCAACTTAGGCCCTCACCGCACTGCTCAGCCCAACCGGTAAGACGGGCACTTCTCAGCAAGGGGTGCGCTTCACAATCCACGTACCCGACAGCCCCACTAGGGGTTATGTGTGCGAGGTGTTTGGAGGGCACTTCCAGCTGCCAGAGTGGGTCTCGTTGGCAGGGCTGTTGACTTGAGGCAACTTTACATTCCATAAGCTACGTGTGCGAGGTGTTCGAGTTACCAACTGCCTAAACTTGGGCCCATAGGTAGGACTCTTGACTTGAATTTCAAGGGCCGAGAGGGGCTCCTACTGCTTGAATCGGTGAGACTCGACTCGTTACTTCACGTAAACTTCCAGGGCTAATGGCTAAGGACTATATGTGCTAGCTTCTTGGGGGGCAGTTTCAGCTGCCTGAACTGGTATGACTTTTTACTTGGGTTATGGGCTATGGTGTATGTGTGTGGTGTTCTGAGAGCACTTTCTGCTGCTAGAGGTCAGCCCCATCTGTGATTTTCCCTTCACTTCTCGTGTTGCTTTGTTTCTCATGACCGCTCTTCATGCCTCACTCGATTCCTCACTCCTTGCCTCACCCCATGCCTCTTCATGCCTCACCCCATGCCTCTTCATGCCTCACCCCATGCCTCTTCATGCCTCACCCCATGCCTCTTCATGCCTCACCCCATGCCTCTTCATGCCTCACCCCATGCCTCTTCATGCCTCACCCCATGCCTCTTCATGCCTCACTCGATTCCTCACTCCTTGCCTCACCCCATGCCTCTTCATGCCTCACCCCATGCCTCTTCATGCCTCACCCCATGCCTCTTCATGCCTCACCCCATGCCTCTTCATGCCTCACCCCATGCCTCTTCATGCCTCACCCCATGCCTCTTCATGCCTCACCCCATGCCTCTTCATGCCTCACCCCATGCCTCTTCATGCCTCACCCCATGCCTCTTCATGCCTCACCCCATGCCTCTTCATGCCTCACCCCATGCCTCTTCATGCCTCACCCCATGCCTCTTCATGCCTCACCCCATGCCTCTTCATGCCTCACCCCATGCCTCTTCATGCCTCACCCCATGCCTCTTCATGCCTCACCCCATGCCTCTTCATGCCTCACCCCATGCCTCTTCATGCCTCACCCCATGCCTCTTCATGCCTCACCCCATGCCTCTTCATGCCTCACCCCATGCCTCTTCATGCCTCACCCCATGCCTCTTCATGCCTCACCCCATGCCTCTTCATGCCTCACCCCATGCCTCTTCATGCCTCACCCCATGCCTCTTCATGCCTCACCCCATGCCTCTTCATGCCTCACCCCATGCCTCTTCATGCCTCACCCCATGCCTCTTCATGCCTCACCCCATGCCTCTTCATGCCTCACCCCATGCCTCTTCATGCCTCACCCCATGCCTCTTCATGCCTCACCCCATGCCTCTTCATGCCTCACCCCATGCCTCTTCATGCCTCACCCCATGCCTCTTCATGCCTCACCCCATGCCTCTTCATGCCTCACCCCATGCCTCTTCATGCCTCACCCCATGCCTCTTCATGCCTCACCCCATGCCTCTTCATGCCTCACCCCATGCCTCTTCATGCCTCACCCCATGCCTCTTCATGCCTCACCCCATGCCTCTTCATGCCTCACCCCATGCCTCTTCATGCCTCACCCCATGCCTCTTCATGCCTCACCCCATGCCTCTTCATGCCTCACCCCATGCCTCTTCATGCCTCACCCCATGCCTCTTCATGCCTCACCCCATGCCTCTTCATGCCTCACCCCATGCCTCTTCATGCTTCACCCCATGCCTCTTCATGCCTCACCCCATGCCTCTTCATGCCTCACCCCATGCCTCTTCATGCCTCACCCCATGCCTCTTCATGCCTCACCCCATGCCTCTTCATGCCTCACCCCATGCCTCTTCATGCCTCACCCCATGCCTCTTCATGCCTCACCCCATGCCTCTTCATGCCTCACCCCATGCCTCTTCATGCCTCACCCCATGCCTCTTCATGCCTCACCCCATGCCTCTTCATGCCTCACCCCATGCCTCTTCATGCCTCACCCCATGCCTCTTCATGCCTCACCCCATGCCTCTTCATGCCTCACCCCATGCCTCTTCATGCCTCACCCCATGCCTCTTCATGCCTCACCCCATGCCTCTTCATGCCTCACCCCATGCCTCTTCATGCCTCACCCCATGCCTCTTCATGCCTCACCCCATGCCTCTTCATGCCTCACCCCATGCCTCTTCATGCCTCACCCCATGCCTCTTCATGCCTCACCCCATGCCTCTTCATGCCTCACCCCATGCCTCTTCATGCCTCACCCCATGCCTCTTCATGCCTCACCCCATGCCTCTTCATGCCTCACCCCATGCCTCTTCATGCCTCACCCCATGCCTCTTCATGCCTCACCCCATGCCTCTTCATGCCTCACCCCATGCCTCTTCATGCCTCACCCCATGCCTCTTCATGCCTCACCCCATGCCTCTTCATGCCTCACCCCATGCCTCTTCATGCCTCACCCCATGCCTCTTCATGCCTCACCCCATGCCTCTTCATGCCTCACCCCATGCCTCTTCATGCCTCACCCCATGCCTCTTCATGCCTCACCCCATGCCTCTTCATGCCTCACCCCATGCCTCTTCATGCCTCACCCCATGCCTCTTCATGCCTCACCCCATGCCTCTTCATGCCTCACCCCATGCCTCTTCATGCCTCACCCCATGCCTCTTCATGCCTCACCCCATGCCTCTTCATGCCTCACCCCATGCCTCTTCATGCCTCACCCCATGCCTCTTCATGCCTCACCCCATGCCTCTTCATGCCTCACCCCATGCCTCTTCATGCCTCACCCCATGCCTCTTCATGCCTCACCCCATGCCTCTTCATGCCTCACCCCATGCCTCTTCATGCCTCACCCCATGCCTCTTCATGCCTCACCCCATGCCTCTTCATGCCTCACCCCATGCCTCTTCATGCCTCACCCCATGCCTCTTCATGCCTCACCCCATGCCTCTTCATGCCTCACCCCATGCCTCTTCATGCCTCACCCCATGCCTCTTCATGCCTCACCCCATGCCTCTTCATGCCTCACCCCATGCCTCTTCATGCCTCACCCCATGCCTCTTCATGCCTCACCCCATGCCTCTTCATGCCTCACCCCATGCCTCTTCATGCCTCACCCCATGCCTCTTCATGCCTCACCCCATGCCTCTTCATGCCTCACCCCATGCCTCTTCATGCCTCACCCCATGCCTCTTCATGCCTCACCCCATGCCTCTTCATGCCTCACCCCATGCCTCTTCATGCCTCACCCCATGCCTCTTCATGCCTCACCCCATGCCTCTTCATGCCTCACCCCATGCCTCTTCATGCCTCACCCCATGCCTCTTCATGCCTCACCCCATGCCTCTTCATGCCTCACCCCATGCCTCTTCATGCCTCACCCCATGCCTCTTCATGCCTCACCCCATGCCTCTTCATGCCTCACCCCATGCCTCTTCATGCCTCACCCCATGCCTCTTTACGACTATATCCCTGCCACCCTGTTCCCCACCAGGTGCCAATGGGCTGGCCAACGCACGTCACTTCCAGGGATGCCCACTGCATTGTTCGAGCATGAAACTACGGTTGCTGGCTCACATACCTGTCCACTCCTCTCCATGCTCTCCCTATTCCCCCTTCAGGCGCCAATGGGCTGGCCAATCCACGTGACTTCCTCACGCCCACCGCATTGCTGCTGCTGCTCATCACAAACCTACTTGCGCCTCTCCACTCCTCTCCACTCCTCTCCACTCCTCTCCACTCCTCTCCGTGCTTCTTTCCCCATATTCCTCACCAGGTGCCAATGGGCTGGCCAATCCACGTGATTTCCATACATCCCCCACTGCATGGTTTGGTGATCACACTGCGGCCACAGGCTCACATTCCTCTCCACTCCTCTCCACTCCTACCCACTCCTCTCCACTCCTCTACATGCTCCCCGTATTCCCCACCAGGCGCCAATGGGCTGGCCAATCCACGTGACTTCCAGACGCCCACCTCGTGGTTCGAGAATGGTGCCGCTCCTGCTGGGTCGGATGCGGTGGAGAACGGTGGAGATGGAGTGATGCAGAGCGGTGGAGGAGGGTACTTGGTGGTGCACAAGTTTGCAGGGCGGCTGTTCGAGGCGAGGCAGGACTTCTCGCCCTTCAACGTGGTGGCATGGCATGGCAACTACGTGCCTTACAAGGTACTCCACTCTTGCTAGGTGAGCACACTGCCTGGTCTGCCTGCACTGTTAGGGGAGCAATCCACACTGCTATGCAAGCACTCAGTGATCGAGGCGAGGCAGGACTTCTCGCCCTTCAACGTCGTGGCATGGCATGGCAACTACGTGCCTTACAAGGTACTCCACTCTTGCTAGGTGAGCACACTGCCTGGTCTGCCTGCACTGTTAGGGGAGCAATCCACACTGCTATGCAAGCACTCAGTGATCGAGGCGAGGCAGGACTTCTCGCCCTTCAACGTCGTGGCATGGCATGGCAACTACGTGCCTTACAAGGTACTCCACTCTTGCTACGTGAGCACACTGCCTGGTCTGCCTGCACTGTTAGGGGAGCAATCCACACTGCTATGCAAGCACTCAGTGATCGAGGCGAGGCAGGACTTCTCGCCCTTCAACGTCGTGGCATGGCATGGCAACTACGTGCCTTACAAGGTACTCCACTCTTGCTAGGTGAGCACACTGCCTGGTCTGCCTGCACTGTTAGGGGAGCAATCCACACTGCTATGCAAGCACTCAGTGATCGAGGCGAGGCAGGACTTCTTGCCCTTCAACGTCGTGGCATGGCATGGCAACTACGTGCCTTACAAGGTACTCCACTCTTGCTAGGTGAGCACACTGCCTGGTCTGCCTGCACTGTTAGGGGAGCAATCCACACTGCTATGCAAGCACTCAGTGATCGAGGCGAGGCAGGACTTCTCGCCCTTCAACGTCGTGGCATGGCAAAGCATGGCAACTACGTCCCTTACAAGGTGAGCGCGCTGCACACTTGATGCACAAGGTGACAGCGACCCACCCTATACTGCCATGGCATGGAGCCGATCCATCTCACCCTTGCACCTCCGCCTTTTTCCGGCTGTCCTCTTGTTCCCCTGTGTGCCTCACAGTATGACTTGAGTCGCGTCTGCCCCATGAACGCTGTCGAATTCATTTCCAAACGTCCCTCTTCCCCCTGCCAAACAACCCCTCTCCCATCCCTTCACAGTATGACTTGAGTCGCGTCTGCCCCATGAACGCTGTCGAATTCATTTCCAAACGTCCGTCTTCCCCCTGCCAAACAACCCCTCTCCCATCCCTTCACAGTATGACTTGAGTCGCGTCTGCCCCATGAACGCTGTCGAATTCATTTCCAAACGTCCCTCCTCCCCCTGCCAAACAACCCCTCTCCCATCCCTTCACAGTACGATCTGAGTCGCTTCTGCCCCATGAACGCTGTCGCATTCGACCATCCCGATCCCTCCATCTTCACAGGTGCGCCTCTCCATTCCCACCTGTACCCACCACCCACCCGCACGCACCATTTCCATCTGTGAACATCTTTCCTGTCACTCACTCCTCCCCGTAAAACCCTTCCTCTACTTCCTCACCCTCTCGTTCCCTGCTAGTCGTGTTCCGTCCTCCCGATCGTCCTCGCCTCACCCCTCTACTCTTCTCCATTCACCTCCTCACTTCTCTTCCACTCCCCTCCCCTCACATGTCTCTGCCTGCAGTGCTCACGTGTCCCACCACCCGCCCCGGCTTCGCAGCGGTTGACTTTGTTCCCTTCCCGCCGCGCTGGGCCTTGGCAGAAGGCATGTTCCCAACCCTCCCCTCCCCTCCCCTTCCCTCCCCTCCCCTCCCCTCCCATTGCCCTGCCTGCAGTGCTCACATGCCCCACCACTCGTCCAGGCGTCGCAGCAGTGGACTTTGTGCTCTTCCCTCCCAGCCATGTGCCACTTCCTCTCTTGTTCCCCCACGCCCCTGCCTGCAGTGCTCACGTGCCCAACCACGCGCCCAGGCGTTGCAGCGGTGGATTTTGTGCTCTTCCCTGCCACCGCACTTCCCTCCACTCACCTCATCTCCTCACCCCTTCCCCTCCCTCTCTCCCCTGCAGTGCTCACGTGTCCCACCACCCGCCCCGGCGTCGCAGCGGTTGACTTTGTGCTCTTCCCGCCGCACTGGGCCGTGGCGGAGGGCACGTTCCGCCCGCCCTACTTCCACCACCCTGGCCTCCACCCGTCGAACCCTTTCCCTTTTCCATCCACCTCCACCTCCTCTCACCCCCCGTTTCCCTGCCTGCAGTGCTCACGTGCCCCACCACGCGTCCAGGAGTGGCAGCGGTTGACTTTGTGCTCTTCCCTCCCCGATGGGCCGTGGCAGAGGGCACGTTCCGCCCGCCCTACTTCCACCACCGTCACCACCTCCCATCAACCCCTTCCCCTACTTCCTCACCCTCGCCTCCCCTGACAGTCATGTTCTCCCTTCGTCTCCACCCATCTCCTCACTTCCCCCTGTCTGCAGTTCTGACCTGTCCCACCACTCGTCCAGGCGTGGCAGCAGTTGACTTTGTGCTCTTCCCGCCGCGCTGGGCCGTGGCGGAGGGCACGTTTCGACCGCCCTACTTCCACCGCAACTGCATGAGCGAGTTCATGGGGCTTATATCGGGGACATACGAGGTGCGTGGGCTTATAACGAGGATAAGTGTAAAACTCAACTGCATGAGCGAGTTCATGGGGCTTACATCAGGGACGTGTGAGGTGGGTTGGCTTATGACGAGGATAAGTGCATAATTTGTCTGCATGAGCAAGTTTATGGGGCGTATATCTGGGACGTACGAGGTGAGTTTGTGGGCCTTATAACGGGGTCGTACTTGTTGAGTTGGTTCAGGGGCTTATAAGGGGGACGTATGAGATGAGAAGCGGAGGGCACGTTCCGCCCACCTGAAGTGCATGAGCGAGTTCATGGGGCTTATAAAGGAGACGTATGACGTGAGTTTGGGGGCCTTTCCCGGGGAAGTACAAGGTGAGCTCATTCATGTGCTGTACTTACCACGCTTATTTAATGAAGGACCATTCGAGTTCATTCATGGGCTTATAACGGGGATGTACGAGGTGACTTTTTGGTTTTATAAATGTAGACTATGAGGTGACTGCATTTTTGGCCTTATTACAGATCGTATGAGGTGATTGTATGCGCCATGTAAGGTGGAGTTTTTAGGCCTGGGAAGTCATGGCACTTTTAACCACTTGGTTTGTTCTACCAGCCCCCAACCCCATCCTCCTCTCTTCCATCGACCCCCCTCCCCTCCGCTCTCCCTCCCCCCCCTCGCTGCCTTCCCCCTTAAACTCCCTCCATCGTCTTCCCTGCTGGGAGACGTTCAGGCCAAGGCAGAGGGATTTGAGCTGGGAGGTGCGAGTCTGCACAGCTGCATGACGCCCCACGGCCCTGACACCGCCACCTTCGAGGTGAGAGGCATGCTGCTGCCTTGTCCGTGCTGCCTTCAATACTGCCTTTGATTCTGTATATGTGTTGATGAGTCTGCACAGCTGCATGACACCCCACGGCCCTGACACCGCCACCTTTGAGGTGCGAAGGATGCTGCCTTGGTTGTTGCAGTGAGTGCTGCCTTTGGTTTGTATGTAATGCTGCCATGTCTGCACAGCTGCATGACGCCCCACGGCACTGACACCGCCACATTCAAGGTGAGAGCTCCCCTCTGCTGTGTTCAACCCTTGAGGCTTGCTTTTAACCCTCTGAAGACTTAAAAAGCAGCAGTATACATTTGGCAATACTGTTTGGCTGACTACAGTGCCCAAAACTATTTCGCCCTAGCGAAAGTGAAACAGCTTGGCGATCGTATCGGCGAAAATCCCGAAGCCCCCCCACCACCTCGGGGGAATTGTGTGCTCGCAAAAGAGAAGCACCTCGAGAGCAAACACCAAGTACTGGTGCCAGGGTACCAATCAGCATAACCATGGGTTCTATTATTAGTCTACCCCACTTGAAGTTCTATCAGGTGCTGGGCCGGCAGAACAGACACCACGACCACTAAACCATTATCTCGTGAGTCCGCAAAAGCTGTCCGACTACGCTACAATAAACGGAATCATTCTACACCTCCGCATGTGTACGTCTGTCCGCTCCCCGCGAAATAACTCCCCCCGCGCGCACTCGCTCCCTCCGCGCGCACTCTCGCCCCCAGCGCGTATTCGCTCTCCCCGCGTGCTCTCGCTCCCCCCGCGCTCACTCGCTCCCCTCGCGCACTCGCTCCCCCAGCGCTCACTCGCTCCCCCAGCGCGCATTCGCTGCACCGCACACGCGGGATCCCCCCGCGCTCACTCGCTCTCCGCGCGCAATCGCGGTCTCCGTGCGCGCTCGCGCCCCCAGCGCGCATTCGTTCCCCCCGCGCTCGCTCGCTCGCCCCGTGCGCACTCGCGCCCCCAGCGCGCATTCGCTCCCCCCGCGCTCGCTCGCTCGCCCCGTGCGCACTCACGCCCCCAGCGCGCATTCGCTCCCCCCGCGCTCGCTCGCTCGCCCCGTGCGCACTCGCGCCCCCAGCGCGCATTCGCTCCCCCCGCGCCATTGTCGTTCCTTCTACTCTGCGCCAGGCGCGCCCGCCCCCACCTTCCACCGCTACCCAACCATCCACTATTGTCACACTTCCTTCTCTCCTCTTCCCCCCTCCCTCTCCTCACTCCCGCACTCCCTCCCACCCTCCCTCACCCCTCCGTCGCCCCTGCCTGCCGCATGGCTCTCCCCATCCCTTGGTGTGCGACTCACAAAGGGTCGCTGGCGTTCATGCTGGAGTCGTGCTTCACACCAAACTACTCTTCCCCCCCCCACGCCCTTTTCCCGAGCAGCGAGCCGTGGCAGAGGAGGGGTCGCTGGCGTTCATGCTAGAATCAGTGCACTGTGTGTGCATGCCACTCGCTATGCATCATCTGCTGCCCCTCCACACCCCTTTCCCCCAATCAGCGGGCCGTGGCGGAGGAGGGCGACAGCAAGCCCGAGCAAGTGCACTAGGGGTCGCTGGCGTTCATACTGGAGTCGTGTGCAGTGCACCGTGTGTGTATGTGCCACTCCCTGAGCATCATCCGCTGCCCCTCCACACCCCTCTCCCCAATGCAGCGGGCGGTGGCGGAGGAAGGGGACAGCAAGCTGGAACAAATCCACAAGGGGTCGCTGGCGTTCGTGCTGGAATCGGGCTTCAGACCACGGGCGTCGGGCTCACTGTGTGTGGATGCCACTCCCTAAGCATCATCCGCTGCCCCACCACACCCCTCTTCCCCATGCAGCGGGCCGTGGCAGAGGAGGGCGACAGCCAGCCGGAACAAATTCACAAGGGGTCATTAGCGTTCATGCTGGAGTCGTGCTTCACACCGCGCGTCACACACACAATGCTCAACTCGCCTTTGCTAGATGCTAATTACTACCAGTGCTGGCAGGGCCTCCGATCGCACTTCACAAGCCTGTCAGCATGATCGTGTGTATATTCCGCGCTCATCCTCTTTTGTGCATAGTGTATATAGTGTTCCTTGTTATTTTAAGATACGACGAGTAACGTTGGATTGAGTGGATGGGTATCATTGTCATCATTTATCTTAAAATGGAGCAGACTCACAGGGGATTAGTGCCCTCGTCAATCTACATAGTGTGCACAAGAACATGGGTAATTCCTGATTATGGTGACCCATGGGCCATGAGGTTCAAAGTATCTGCAATCGACAAAAATGAAAATCTATTTCTGAATTGCTCTATATCTGATAGTTGTAACAGCTCCGTTCTGTTACCGATCGCACATGTCGGTATGTCTTCGCGAGATGTTCACGAGGAATGTCCGGTTGTACCCGCAAGTGTCGCCTCGCCAAAATCGAACAAGTTTTGGCATGGACGCATGTACCCTACACTTGTCAGCAAACCCTTCCTTCCCCGCCCTTCCCGCTTCCTTGCGCCAAACGCGCGAGCTGATAGTAGAGGCATTCTACTCCAACGCGCCGCAGCTCAAAGCTCTACTCCTCGCAACGTCTGCAATCACGCATGCACGAGTTTTACACTGCGCGAGATTGAGAGTCGCTTCTCTTCGATGCCTGCCGTGCTATTGCACCACCCCGTCCCGCTCCTTTCAGGCTCATGTTTCGCTCTGCTTCACTTGTGTGGGGTGCGCGTGATATTTTTTCGCGGATACGCGCGTCAAATGTTAATCTAGCGTTAGAGCTGCTGCTAGGGTGTACCCATCGTTAAGACCAGCATTAACCAGTCGGTACATGTTTGATTAGCACAGCGCGGATCTTTCTGGGTTCGAAGCATGTCAGGATGGATGTTTGGTTCGGGATTGATGGATGAGTGAGTGTTGCACTCATGCCTTTCTCTAAGTTCCGCTGTGGCTCGGTTGTTGTCTGAATTTCTCCTTTTCCCCCTCGTTTTCGAATCTCCTTCTCCTTTGCCTGAACCGATTCAGTGTAGAGGACATCAGGCACAGCCGTCATGAGCCACCAAGGTGTGTATGCATTTTTTTCCCTTCGCGGGGAAGTTTGGGGGAAGGGGAAACTGGGGATGGGTTTGGGTTACCACTTTCCAAGTCCTCATGGTCGTTTTACTGTATGTCAACATAGAATATAGTGTTGGGGAACTTTGTGGTTCTGTTTCTGTTCGTTGGTTCTTGCTCACTCTTCTTGCTCCAACACAAACTTTGTGCAGGAAAAGAGCTTCCAAGGACTTTTTACCTGAGCCACAAAGGTGGGTCTTGCATTGTCTCGAAAATATCACTCGAAGAGGTAACTCTGCTGCTTCACTTACTTCCTGGTTGCTACTTCTCGCAAATTTTATACCTTTTTCATGCGCGCTATTCTTCTCGGTCTTCTGTGACGTGTGTGCTACACAATTCAGGGAACCTGAGGATTATCGCCTTTCCTCCAAGCTAAAGGACCTTTTTGACCGAGAGAAGTTCACAGACGTGGTTTTTGAGGCTTGCGATGGTACCAGGATTCGAGCACACCGCAGCATTGTTGCAATGTGGTAACGGTTCCTTCTAAGCATGCTATGTCATAATACCGTGGGTTGCTTTTCTCTTTCATAATTATAATGTCATTTCTTTCTGTTTCTGTTTCTTTTTGGTCGTTTTTGCTTTATGTATCTCAGGTCGCCAGTGCTGGAGGCACTGATGGAGGAGTCAGAGGATGAGAAGAATCCAGAGTTCAGGCTGACTGACATGGATGGCTGCACGTTGAGGGCGCTCCTGGTCTTCATGTATGGCGGCTTTGACATGCTCATTGATGCTGATGCTCTCAAGGTATTTGCCAACTTGCTTCGTAGTACAGATTCTTCATTGTGGGATTTTTTGGCTCTTATAGCTGACATGTGGCACGGTCGTAGAGTTTACTGGTGTCAGCCGTCCCGATCCAGTCTAATCATATTTTTTGGGGGGGGGAACGGGTTGATTTATGTAATTCATTTTATGCTCTCACATAATCAGGAACGAGGCGTTGCACTGCTTGAAGCTGCACATAAGTATGATGTGGCTGATCTAGCAGAAAAATTGGACCGCCAATTGTCCACACTGCATGTGGAAGAGCAATCTCTGCTCCGTGTGCTGAAGGCTGTGGATCGGGTTGGGGCAGCACGGACAAAGCAAGCCCTGATGGACCATGTTGTGCACATTATGGATGTAAACAGCAGCCAAAAGCTCGTGAAGGTACGGTAATGCCTTTGTGCTTTATTTTTTCTTTTAATGTGGCCTTCTGGACTGATCACCTGATGTGGCGTCATATTGATGTCACTTGATGGCATTTGTCTCATTCCTGCATGCCTCCAGGAAATGATTGAGAGCAGTGATATTCATGACAGGCGGCTGGCAACAGAGCTTGTTGCCACTGTTTGGCCACTCTACCGTAATCCGCTGCATGTACGCCCTAGAGTGCTTTGAAAGTATTGTAAGAGAGTTGGAGTGGGTGTTGGATCAGGAAGTACAGAACCTCCAGTTCGGGGGTGATTTTGGTAAGGCATGCATGTAGAATAGAAGCGACATGGGAAAGTAGATGCCATAACTAACAATGAAGAACATGGGTGTGAGTCCCGTGGGACTTGTTGATTGTTTATAAGCCTGATATTCCACAAGCCAATCTGAGGGTATGTTGTTGAGTCAAAAGGCACTGTTTTATTATCAAATGCGATCATTTGTGCATCCAATTTAAACATGCAAAACAATGGGGGAGGTTTCTCCACCAGTTTTTATACAAGTTCCTCAACCAAACCACACCTCCATCTCATGATCACTTCATTATACACCCCGGCCTGCCATTCCCTCCATTTCCACACAAATCCCTGGCCGGTGCATGCTTCCCATGCTCTGCAGGCACAGTAGCACTAGATTCTCTGCCACACACGAAACGGATGGCACCTACCCAGGCAAAAACTACCCAGAAAATGATTGCCTGTCCAGCTACACGACAAACTCGCGACTATCCTCTGAGCCCAGCATTGCCAGCCGTGTGCCCAGTGCACCGCCACTGCCCTGCCCATCCCATATGCCCGTGCCACTCCCCCAGTACAGCCCGCTCCATCGCCCCCTTTCTCCCTCTCTGCTATCTAGGCTTTCTCCCCTTTCACCCCCTGCCCGGGCCCCCTGCAGCAGGGAGGCTCGAAGGGGCTTGAAGGTTCGGAGGGCCGCAGAGGGAGTGGGGCGGGAGGAGGGAGAAGAGGAGGTGCAGGAGAGGGCGAGGAGGAAGAGGGGGAGGAGGAGGGTGTGAGGGGGTGGAGGGTGTGGCAGGAGCGGGTCGAGGAGAGGAGAGACGTTGCCGGCTGTTACATGCTGCTGGGCCTGAGGGTTGAGAGGTCGGGGAGAGGGAGATGCCGGCAGGGGAACGGAGGGGAAGGTGTGCAGGGCAATGGATGGGAAGAGGAGCGGTGGGAGGAGGCATGGGGGATGGAGGGGCAGGGCAGTGTGAGCTCGAGACAAAGAGGTTTCCAAAGTGAGATGTGTGTTCTGATGAGATGTGTGTTCTGATGAGATGTGTGTTCTGATGAGATGTGTGTTCTGATGAGATGTGTGTTCTGATGCCTGGCATGCAAGGGGCGAGTGCATGGTCAATGCACATTGCACGTGCACCATCATCACAACTTCACCATGCCACGCCACGCCATGCCATGCCATGCCATGCCGTGCCATGCCATGCCATGCCATGCCACGCCACGCCATGCCACACCATGCCATCTTCCGCCCTACCACGTCATGCCACACCACACCACACCATAGCATGCCATAGCATGCCATGAGCAGCAGGGCAGCACGCACCCAGTCTGAGATGTGAATGCGTTGGCCATCCACATGGACGTAGGGAGTAACCCACCCCGTGAGCAGCTGCAGCAGCAGCACCCCCACACTGGCAAGGGCAGACCGGAAGAAATGGGGCAGAGGAAGGGCGAAAAGGAGCAGAGGGAGGGCGAAAGGGGGCAGAGGGAGGACAAAAGGGAAGGGGAAGGTATTAAAGGGCGGTCTCACTCATATTTTCTGCCTTTTTTATGAGCATTTGGTGTAAAGCTAGTTTCGTAGGCAAATGTTTATAAAGAGAATCTAAACCCTGATGTGATCCTCCAGTATCTCCAATCCACAAATGATAGATTCCGGCCAATTTTAAAGAGGGAATCGTCCCCGTCTTGTCGTATGATTCATTTCCCATCCTTGGCTTCTGTTACCTTACCACCCATGCTAGGCACGCTAATGTGATCCTCCTCTGAACATGTGGGCCCTACCTGAGCATGTGGGCCCCACCTGAACATGTGCGCCCCACCTGAACATGTGCGCCCCACCTGAACATGTGCGCCCCACCTGAACATGTGCGCCCCACCTGAACATGTGCGCCCCACCTGAACATGTGCGCCCCACCTGAACATGTGCGCCCCACCTGAACATGTGCGCCCCACCTGAACATGTGCGCCCCACCTGAACATGTGCGCCCCACCTGAACATGTGCGCCCCACCTGAACATGTGCGCCCCACCTGAACATGTGCGCCCCACCTGAACATGTGCGCCCCACCTGAACATGTGCGCCCCACCTGAACATGTGCGCCCCACCTGAACATGTGCGCCCCACCTGAACATGTGGGCCCCACCTGAACATGTGCGCCTCACCTGAACATGTGCGCCCCACCTGAACATGTGCGCCCCACCTGAACATGTGGGCCCCACCTGAACATGTGCGCCTCACCTGAACATGTGCGCCCCACCTGAACATGTGCGCCCCACCTGAACATGTGCGCCCCACCTGATCATGTGCGCCTCACTGAAGACGTGGGCCTCACCCCACCTGAACATGTCAGACATGGCAGAAGCAATGCCAGTGTGCAGCACAGCGGGATCCACATGCCCCTCCGTGCACCGCAACACTCTCCGCTGCTTCAACCCTCCACTGCCACTGCTGCTGCTGCTACTGCTGCTGCTGCCACTCGTCCCGCTCCCTCTCGAGCTCCCACTGTGGCCACCCTTGCTGCCTCCACCTTCCCCACTCCCACTCGTCCAGGAGCCTTCGTGCCCGCCCATGTCCACGAGCACGCGCTGACCCATGCGCATCGCACTCCAGTCGCCCACCCGCGCCTGGCAGGGTGTGGCCCACAGGAGAGACAGGGGCAGGTGAGGTGAGGAGGGGAGTGAGAGAGGTGAGGATTGTGCGGGCAGTCATGGATGGGATGGGGCATGACACCACCCTGACAGCAGTTGAGACCAAGATAGAGGGTTGAAGGCAAACGTGATGAAATGCGAAATTGACGTGTACTTGACTCCAAGTCAAGTTGACTAAATCTTGACCTTTTTTTTTTTTTTTCTGGTCGAGAATTTTTCCCCAACCTATGTTTTTGTTGTTTATACTCTAGCGTACATACGTAAATATGCAATGCGCTCGGAAATTGCTCGAGCAGTCCACAAAAAAGTATGGGTTGGCAAGGTTGGCCATCGAGTCAACCTTGCTGAGCCGAGGGTCTCTAACCGGAACGAAATCACGAATGAAGAAATGGCGGAGCTCGATTTGCTTAGAGCCTCTAGACGACGTGAATGGCATTGGCGATGGTTGAGGCAAATGCTATTCTACAGGAGAGTTTACTAGCGTAGGACGCACGAACAGATCTCTGGTAGTGATTCTTGACAAATTGCTTGGTTGCCTTGGTGGAATTCAAGCATAGCTGCACTAGGAAAAATTCATTGAACAAGATTATGGTACACGCAAGGATAACTTCTGCAGGAACCAAGCTTGTGCGTTGCTTAGTCAGCAACGGCAGGTGAAACCACAAACACATGCGTCTGTCACCTAACTTGGCAGTTCCTTAGGTTCTACAACAATGAAAGTTGTATATGTACGTGTGGTTAGCAAAAACGTGTTCCACGTTCAGTTTCCTTACTGATTCGAATTCTCCTGGGGAGTACAATTTCCGGGAGCATCTGATTGGTCGAAATTCTCTCGCTCGATCGGGCGAAATTCGCACACATTCGAGTTTCCTTCAACGAGTTAATCTGGTCAACACAAAACGCTCTTCTTGACGATGCCCTTGCCAAGCATTATTCCGTCGATAAGTACTCTGTCGAAATGGCAATTTCATCTATTTAGTCAATCAGCGACTTGCGTCTTCAATGACGAATCAATCCCGTCGACCAGCGTCTCGTCGACAGGCACTTCTGTCGACTAGCAAAAACACTTCGACAATTTAATCTCGTCACGGACGCTTTGTCGCACACAGATAAAAGTCCCCGAAGTCGTCGATGACCACCAAGCAAAGCCGTAAATCAAGCAGCGAAAATCGACACTCGAATGCTCATGTCTAGTCGAAAGGCATGGCACTCATCTCCCAGGCAGCAGCAAGAATGACCTCCCAAGTCACCTCGAGCACGGCAATGCACTCACCTCCCAAGCAACAGTGAGCAGCACGTTTTAGGGCTTGAGGTCGCCGTGCACCTGCCCGTGGCTTTTCAATCGACTCAGCGATGCATGCCAGCCAAATAGTTTGTGTGAGGGCAAAGCACACATCCCAAAAGAGGCAATCACCTCCCATGCGACAGTGAGCAGCACATTTGAGGGCTTGAGGTCGCCGTGCACCTGCCCGTGCTCTTGAGTCGACTCAATAGGGCATGGCATGCCAGCCAAATAGAGTGTGTGAGGGCAAGGCACACATCTCAAAGAAAGCACTCACCTCCCAGGCGACAGTGAGCAGCACATTGGAGGGCTTGAGGTCGCCGTGCACCTGCCCATGACTCTGCATCGCCTTGAGCGCCCTCAGCACTCCCACCGCGATGCCCACCCGCTGCCGCAGCGACAATGGGCTACTGCCCGTTTGTGCGGCTGATTTGGGAGGTACGAAGGAGGTGAGGTGTGGGGTGGGATGGACACTTTTGAGTCGACTCAAACGCAGCGACAAGGGGCTAGTGCTTGCCTGTGCGGCTGACATGGGTGGGAGGTACGAAGGAGGTGAGGTGTGAGGATGGGATGGATAAGGCGCAGGAGGGTTGGCGGTGGGGCAAGGGGAGTTCGCCCTATGGAGTTAAGGTCAACAAAACAAGGACAGAAGTCCACAAGAAAGGAAGAGGGTCACAAGGAAAGGAAGAGGGTCACAAGGAAAGGAAGAGGGTCACAAGGAAAGGAAGAGGGTCAAGAGGAACGGAAGAGAGTCAGAAGGGAAGGAAGAGGGTCCACTTTTGTGCTGACACACTGCTATAACAACAATGGGGCTAGAAGGTCTGAGCTGATTGGGGGGGGAAAGAAGGTGGGGCATGAGGAAAGGAGATGAGGTGATAAGAAGCAAGGAGGGGAGAGGAGAGGAGAAGAGAGGAGAGCAGAGGAGAGGACTGGGAGGTGGCGGAGGACAGGCGATCGAGTACAGGCTGCTGTTGGTGTTGCTCAGCTCTGTGATGCAGGCCTCGATGGCGTCCCTGTCCTCGTCCTCCAGGCTCTTGATTGCCACCAGGAGACGTGCGATGGCAGCCTCAGACTTGTCCCGGAGCTGCCGGCAAGTGTTCGCTGCTTCCTGTACGAGGCCCATGGCGTATGAACCTGCTTCACCAACAGGCGCCTGACGATGACCGCGGCCTTGGGCTTGTGACGTGCCCTGACCCCTGCCTGCTGCAGAGGTGCTGGCAGCGGGGACGTTGACGTTGCCGGATGCCATGGCTATGTCGGAAGAGGATCTGCGATAGTTCAAGGAGGCCAGGACACGTGACAGAGTGGGCGGATCAACGATCGTTGCACGCATCCAAGCAGCCAGTGGTCTCAGCCCGTCGACATTGCCCATGAGTCCAAGGGCAGTGCGCTTGTACAATTGCCACCTCGACACCTGTCTCAGAACCAGTGTCCCTGCACCACTGACATGGTACCTGGTAGCTTGCAATGGAGCACTGGACGTGGACAGTGGATCACGGTACGAGCACGGGCCCAATGGTACGATTGCACCGGCACCTGCAGGCACGTGAGAGCCAGGCCGGGTGCTTGAGCCCAATGACCTGACAACGTACGGCTGTGCGCTGTAACGTGGTCATGTGCTGCAGGGCTGCGTTCACGGCCTTACGTGCAGGTGTTCCGAACGAGTACAATCGCACCGTGTCAGGGTTCATTGCCTGTGAGACAATGAGCATTTGCATCAGCCACTTTGAGAACAGCGACTCCAGGGCAACGTTCACGCATACGCTGTCGTCCAGGGCCATGCGGCAGTTGACCATGATGATGCCAACGTTTCTCAGTCCATGAGAGCGCTTGACCAAGTTCTGGCACAGTTCCAGTTCCTCCCAGTCGATGCTCATGCACAGGGCCTGTGACAGGATCTGGGACGACACCGTCATGCTAGAGTCAGGGGCCACGTATGCGAATGCTGAGGCCAGAGCAGGCAGCCTGTGAGACGGGTACGGTCCCTCGGCTATGACCACGTGCTTCAATGGCAGAGACTCAGGGATCAGGGCCAAGTACGACAGCGGTGACGTGTTCACGTCCGGTCCTACGATGCGCTTGACAGATTCAATGAACTCACGCGTGCACTTGACTGCGACTGATGCATGGTCAACTGACAGCTGTTCAATGACCACAGGACATAGACTGGGCTCAGGTGGCAAGACAGGGGCAGTGTTCATGGACTGGAGCCAGTCGGACGTTGACATGGTTCAATAGCTCAAGACTGGTGAACGGATCACAGGACTGGAACAGCGGTCATTGTCAACCTCCAGCCTGCTGGGTCAGTCATGGTACGTGTGCAATGACCTGGACTGTGACAGGGGTCCAGTCATCGGTTTTCAACAATGGGCTGTGTCACCTGACTGTTGATTTTGAACAATGCCAGATTGCAGGCCTTGGATCTGCTACTTGCTCTGCCCATGCCCCTGTCAGATGCTGAGGTCGTTGATCATTGACACGAGTCCACTGTCGGTTTCAAGGTTGAAGGCATAGACTGGCATCTCAGGATTCAGAGGTGGTGACCTGATCTCAGTCGTGCTAACGATCTGCATCGCGTGCAGCATGAGAGTCACCGCATAGTGCCTGCCACGATTCCTGTGCTCGTCCGGGATCCTCCTGAGCTTGATCGTAACCGTTCCTATTCCGCTGACATTGGACCTGATGCTGCTGAGGGCTGTGACTGCATTCGACAGCTGCTTGGTTACTTGGTTCACCCTCATTGTCATTCTCAGCCCTACCTTGTCAGGCAGCTTTGCATTGACCCAGGCATAGCCATCGTTCATTGTTGCAGTCAGCTCATCCACAGGCATTGGCACACATGCCCTGATAGAGTCCATGAGCCACTGATAGCGTGCTGCTGGAATGCCAAGTGACGCGTACGATTCCATGTAAGTCCCGCTCCAGGTCCTGTCGCCTCTATCGGACTTGTACTGCTTGGCCTGTCCAATGTTCGTCCTGTACTCGACGACCACCGACTGCAGGATGAGAGAGGGGCTGATGCCACCGTCGGGCCACAGCACGTAGACGTCGGTGAACTCAAGCGGTCCTGCTGCTGATGTCGACTTCGTTACGTCCCTCTCCTCAGCTAGGATCAATGCAATCAGCGGATCGTCATTCTGCAACGTGGGACCCAGGACTGACGCTGCTGTCATCGTCGGTGGACTGTCCTTCTGCACCTGGACGTAGGTACCGCCTCCTGCTACATGGCCCCTGAGCCTGACCTCGGCACACAGGGGATGGGCGTTGCACGGCTTCAATGTTGCGAGACCGATGTCGTAGACACACCTCAGATCGTGCTTGTGCCCTGGTTCATTGTGCCTGTTGCAAATGTACTTGCCTGCTGACAGGACTACTCGTGCTGTGACATCTGCCATTGTCACCCTGTCCTTGAAGCTGAGCTGTCTGACTGGTGCCTCCTGAGTCCTAACGATTGTTGGCAGTGGACGGACTGCTTGCGACGCTGATCTACTAGGTCCTGGCTGCTGTGACGTTATGACGCTGCCTTCACGTGCTGGGGACTGAGGTACTGATCCAACGTGCCTCGACTGAGGCCAACCCTGAGGACTCTGGCAATGCTGGGGCGATTGCAATGGGCTTACCTGCTGATGCAGGCGGGGTCCTGTACACGTCCTGAGACTGCAGCCGATCCGCTATGGCCCGTGCAAATGGATCTTCCATGCTGCATGGCTGAGCAAGGTGCAGTGGCAACTGGTTGTTTCAGGTTTTCAGCAATCCGTCGTGTCACAGGAATCAGGCATCGGAACCTGTGGCAGTGCTCGTATCAGGTCACCTCGTCCATCAACAGTCACGCCCCTGAGTGCCTTGAGACCACGTACTGTGACCACGGCTGATGATGACATCGACTCTGCCAATGTGATCAGTTCAGTCAACGTCATGTGCCCTGACATCGCAATTGAATAGGACGCGACAAGGGCCTGGTCAAAGGTCTCAGGCTCAGCCAGTCTCACAGCCCTTGTTACGATGCCTGCTCGCTTGCCAAAGATCGTGAGCAACACGCACTCGGCAGTGACAGGTGGCTCCTCCGACTTGAGCCTTGTCCCGATGCATGCGCATGTGAACTCGAACACGTCCCTGTCACTGAATGCCATGTCAGGCCTGGGCAAGTCCAACGCGGTCTTGTCCAGCAGAATCACAAACGTGCGCCGTGTCATGTGCGGGAACCAGATATCGTTACTCGCCAACAGGACAGTGAGGTCAAGGACACCGACTCCGCCTGAGACACTGACAAGGTCGCCGCCGCAGACTTCCTTCCAGAACGTGGCATTGACCCTGCCATCCTTCAACACGACGTCGCCATGGGACGTGAACCGGTAGTCCATGAGCCTAGCCTTCTCGTCCTCTGGCAGGTTCGAGGCCGTGCCGGGGTAGTTCCTGCTCAATGGCCTGTAGCACCCAGGCAGTTGCGAAGCCAGAACCTGCAGAGCTGTGGACTTGCCCTCGCCTCCCTTGGGCCCATACAGGTACAGGATCCGAGGCCTTGCAATGGGATCCAGCAGTCCGTTGCCCACTGTCCACATGACAAGCCTCAGGCGCTCAGGTGTCAGGACCTTGGACAGGATAACCTCTGCCTTGGACATATGCTCCTGCCACCAGTATGATGGCAACAGTCCAATGGACAACGGCCTCCTGACCAGTGATCCGAGCCTACGTGACGGGGCCATGAGCTCTGGTACGATCTCAGGACAAGGCCTGAATCCGATCATAGGCAAGGACCAGGGACGAGGCTGACGAGCACTGCGTCCCAGGCCGTTGTAATCACCGTCCTCGTCCTGGTCATCGTCGTCTGACAGGGGATCGCCATCTGACTCGATCCCAGGCGTGTCCGGTGTCCCGTCACTGTCATTGTCACCCTGCGAGGTCCCTGGCAGTGGACCAGTCACGATCGTGCCCACAGGCGCAGGGATCTGCACGGGCGCAGGCATGACACGGGCTGTGCCTCCTATGACTCGTACCCTGGCCCTGTTCATTGCCTCGTCCATAGCAGGCTCACGTGGCATGTGCTCATTTGGCCTGTACAGCCGTGGTACCAGCCTCCATGTTCCATAGCACATGCTCCTTGGCACAGATGGCACATTCAAGGCCAAGCGTTCCAGGACGTCCATGAACGGTGCTGTGGCTGTTGCAAAGTTCACAGTCGTTGAGCCCATGCCCATGACGTCGGCCAGTTCACGCATCGCTGCCAGACTCCTGGTCGGTGTCCATGCTGCCATGCGCCTGACCAGCATCAGCACCGTGGCACCTGAACGCACCATCCAGCGCCGGCTGACGTACTTCTGGATCAGTGGACCCATGCGCTCGTCAGTTCTCAGGTTCAAAGGCCCAGTCAGCGGATAATCGTCCAAATAGGCTCCGTTGTCCTCCCATTCGACTGGTGGCAGTTGTCTGCGTCCAATTGGCCTAGCACGTGTACCTTGTCGATCTGCCATTGCAACAGGTCATGCAGCAGTGGAACGTTCAACGCGTTGTAGCGCTACCTGTGTCAGCTATCAGTGCAGCCGTCGTAGCCCCGTCTCATTGCAGTTGAACTAGCACATTGCCATGGATCATGCACCATTGTCTCAGCACAACATCAGCTACCTGGACCAGTGCATTAACGAGGGCTGGACCCCTGTCTGGTCAGCGCCCTGTGGTCCTTCAGGCGAGTACCCAGCACCAGCCGAGTACTTGGACGTGACTTCTGGGCCCTGTCAGATGCTCATGAAACTGGCCAGGGGTCGATTGCGTACCTGGATCATAGTCAGGCTGCCAGTTGCAGGTGACGTAATCGCTGGCAAACGCCTTGTGCGCAAGCTTCGATCAGTGCCCGGCGTCAGTCGACCTGGGATTACGTCCAGTACAAGGGGCGAACAGGCCGTTGCAAGGATGGCAGCTGTCCTTGGCATTGGCGCGTTCTGCAGACCTGGCCTGGGCATCAGGGAGGGACTGGTGCCACCTGACGATCTGACAGTTGCAGGCCTCGACATCGAAGTCAGAACAGGCAATGACCCTGGCTCAGGCTGGCCCCTTGCATTGGACGACATCTTGAGCATTGCAGTGTCAGCACCTGATGGACGTTGCCATGTGTGCTACACCACGGGCCGTGTCACAGAGCCAGGACTGCTGCAGGACGAGCGCATGTACCTGTGCCCTGTCATGGACTCGACTGCGGCTGTTGCATAGGCTATAGGCATTGTCGAGTGCATGGAACCAGATGTCCTGGCTGTGCACAATGGCCTGTCCTTTGACTTGCCCAGGATGGCAGCTCATTGCCCGGTGCACCTACGCAATCGATTCGCAGCCGTCAACTTGGACGCTAGCAGGCAGGGCGTGACCATGAACCTGCGTGGCGTGAACCTTGTTGACACGTACCATTACTTGGACAAGCTGCACAGGCAAGAGTGGCAGGGCACGTCACTTGCAGCGGTGGCAGAACGCGTGGGCTTGCCAAGGAAGCTCAGCTACCTGTCACCGTCCTTCTCGCCATCGTCCAATGATCCAATTGATGCCTTGATCCTGTACAATGCACACGATGCCTGGTTACACGCTGGCATTGCTCGGCTGACAGGGTGCGTCCACGAGATCTGCACCGTGGCCGGCTGTCTCAAGGCTCCGATGACTGACGCGTCCAGGTTCATCAGCGGTACCATGGTCAGCAACTTGGCCTCGTCCCATGTCCTGTCCATAGGCCACGTCTTTGACTGGGCACCTGAGGACGTTGACCAGGACGGTGGCAAGTACCGAGGTGCCTGGGTTCTTGATCCAGTACCAGGTGTCCACGGCCCTGTTGCTGTGTGCGATGTCAGCTCCATGTATCCGACCATCATGAGGGACTTGAACGTGTCAATGGAAACTGAAACACACAGGCACGTGCCAGGGTACGAGGACCTCAGCAATGGCTCAATGGCCTGGTCCGATGACGTTTGCACAGTTGTAACAGACGACGGGCCTGTGTCATTCGATCGGACAACGCCTGGTGTCCTTCGCAAGTGCCTGGAGGCGTTGATGGCCAAGCGTGAGGAGGTCGGTCGCAAGAGTACGATGGGCTGGTCGTTCAAGATCGCGGTTCTCAGCATCTATGGAGAGCTGGGGGCCAAGGACTCTTCATTCTCATCAAGGACGTGCGCATCAGCTGTGACAACGGCTGGCAGATGGGTCCTGGCCTCGATCAGTGCCACTGCAATGCTCACAGGCCTGAGACCAGTGTACGGTGACACGGACTCGGTCTTCGTAACATTGCCAGGATCATCGGACAAGATGCCTGAATTCGAGGGCAGAGTCAGAACCTTCGCTGACTTCGTTGGTGCAGTCTTCAGACGTACGCCTCTCGTGTCATTGAACCTCGAATCAGAGGCTACGTACCTGCAACTGATCTGCGTGGGCAAGAAGGCGTACTGTGGCATGCGCACCAAGTTCGGCTCCTGTGGCAAGGATCCCAGCTGGCATGCAAAGGGCCTAGCATCAGTCAGACGTGATAGGCCCAAGGCAGCGTAGGCGTTCATGGAGATCGTAGCCCTGGCCATCTGCCAGGGCAACCGTGACCTGGTCCGCGTCTCACGTGCGATGGCCGAGTCCCTGACCCGCTGGTTGTCCAGTGACCTGTGCTCTGCTGATCTGTGCATAGAACGCAGGGTCCAAGGAGTGCCAAGCGTCCAGTTCGTTGACTCGACCGGTGCCCATGTGACAATGCCACTGGACAGGTTCGAATCGGCAACTGTTCAGCCGTCGTTGAACTGGGCCATGAGCAAGTTCCAGGCCAGCGTTGCTAGAATCCTGCAATCCTGTGGTCTGCCCAACGTCAGGGAGCTACTGACCGTGGCTCAGATCAGTGGCTTCGACGTCGCATGCCTGTGCGAGGCATTGGACAGAGGACTCTGATCAAGCAGTAGCAGCAGCTGATGGCAGTGTGACAATGACACTGGCAACGTCAATGTTTAAAACTGGAACAAGGCACCGGTGTCAGAATCATACTGCACTGTGACCCTGCCGGTGTCAGAGGCAATGAACAGTGGCCGTGACTGTGACGGTGACCTTGGCTGAGACTGGGACTGAGGCTGTGGCTGCTACTGGGACCGATGCAATGACTGCTGCTGCGACTATTGCTGTGGCTGTTACAGATACTGCTGCTGAGACCACTGCTGAGACTGGTGCTGAAACTGGTGCTGAGTGCCTGAACCTGTTCGATGGCTCACTTGCGGAATCATGGAGGCGCCATTTGCAGCAGACGAACTGCCATTGCACGAAGGCCCAGGCATTGACACAGAACAGCTGCCAGGGTTCGCTGACGGATTGTTGGCTAGCACCTGGCAAGTGTCACGTGGTACGACACCTGGACTTGCCAATGAGCTGCCGTTACGGGATCTGATTACGCGCACGGCTGAGTTCATGGGCACTGTGGCTGTGACGGGGGCTGTTGAACCGGAATGCGTCAATGTCCAGTCCGAGGGCACGATGCGACCCCTTGCAATGGCACAGCCCGTGTCCGTGATGCCCTGCGCAGTTGCTGGTGGCAGATTTGCGATGTGGCCAAGAATACGTTCCACAGGACTGCGTGACATGGTCAGGGCAGCTAGGATGCGCCGCCTGTGTCACAAGCCCTGGTGCCCGCGTGATCTGATTGCAACCCCGGCTGTTGCAATTGACAGCCTGCAACAGCGGGTGGCCAATGCATACGCCGATGACAGGTTGCTTGCAGCCTATGCCTGGACTGCGGTCAAGGAGGCGTCCCAGACAATGGACAATGCCTCCTGGCAGGACGTGTTCCAGCCCATCAATGAGGTGACCAAGCACCATGGCATCCTTGGGACACTGTCAGACTGCCAGGTCATTGACATGAACCCAGGCGAGGAGTCCAGTGCACCTGACATGGAAGCACGACAGCCTGTGTCATGGACAGAGGGCTTCATCGATTGCCTGTACACGCCTGCGTCTGTTGAAGCTGGCAGGATACGCCGTCTTGCCCATGGTGTCAGATTCCTGGTTGAGGACACAAGGATGCTGGACCAGTTACAGTTGATCTTGGACCATGCCATTGCCCATGTGGGCACTGATCGTAGTGACAGTGACGAATGGCTGGTCTGCTGGTCAGGTTACGTGGTCAGGGTTGCATTCGAGCACGTCTCGGCCATTGTCTCGGCCTGGCGGTCACCTGAGCTGCAGTCATCGGACGTGCCTGGGCCACTGCTACACCTGTTCAGGCAGGCAAAGGTCGTATGCCTTATGACATGCACCGGTGTCATGGCCAGACACCTTGACGGGGCCAATGCAACACTGCCAGGCGTCTGGATCGACAACTTGACCTGGCACTCGGAACGTGTGACAAGGTTACCTGAACACAGACTGCCTGATAGGGACGATGAGGCGCAGGCCCAGGAGTTCATGTGCACGACCGGCCGTCTGATACCGTTCATCACAAGGGACGAGCCTCCACGACCACTGCTCGCATGTTCTATGGCCAGTCAAGCCCTGTGCAGACCATACGTGAAGCTGTCGTCGACGGTGTCCCCAGTGAATACGTACGTGCCTATTGTCAGGACACAGCTGTTGCATGACCTGATCGGTGAGCTGGATCCGCCAACCGGTCTGAGCTTCCCAGGCATCAGTCTCATGGCATTGTTCCACAACGAGCCCTGCAACTACGAGGACGGTGTCATCGTATCGGATCAGATCAACGCACTAGGACTCATGGCACACGAGGGCGTGGTCTTCCACCCGATGCCTCAGGACGCTGGTGACTTGGTCGGGACAACGATTGGGCCTGACACAGAATGGTGGCGACCTGCAGACTCAGGCCACGTCTATGCCCAGTCCTACAGCAGCCAGCGAATGCGGTACGTGGCAGTGAGAATGCAGTGCAAAGACCTGCGCATGGGTGACAAGCTAGCTACGTGGCACGGTCAGAAGTTCACGATATGCGAGATCAGGCCCCATGAGCCCACTGTGCACGTGTCAGAGGACAGGCTCAGTGTTCAGGCCACAGATCATCATTGCCTCCAGCTCAGTGCACAATCGGCTGACACTTGGCCAGGTGTTCGAAGCAGGACTCGCTGCAACGGTCTGTGATTCGGCTGACTGGGACTCAAGGGCACAGTACGAGCCCATTGTGCTGCCACAGGACTGGCCCAGGACCTTGGACCGCAGTACGTTGACGCGTACGTGCACGATTCAGTACCCTGGTGCAGTGGGCAGGCAACAAGGCCCAGTCTGGCAGAACGGGGCCTGGACAGCTGGGACTGTAACTGCTAACTACGGCCCGTGCTGGATCTGGCAGCTGGTTCACCTGGTCCGTGACAAGCAGCAGTACTGCAGCAAGGTGCCCAAGTCCCTGATGCTGCCACGTGGTCGTCTGCGAGGTGCACCGGTCAGATTGGGCGAGATGGAACAGCAAGCGCTCGTCATGGCCGGCTGTCCCAGGTTCGCAGAGGAACTGGTGCAAAGTGCTGACCTGTGCACTGCCTACGTCTGTGGCAATTGCAGGAGGCTTGTGGAGCTCTGTGACTGTGCCACCGACACTGTGCCAGTTCGCATGTGCATCAGGAAGACGACCGCAGTTTTCGACATCTGCCAAGCAGTCGCTGACTTGAACCTGTCACGTGCAGGTGTCAGGCAGTCCGTGCCCTCGTCAATTGCCTACGATCCTTGAGCCTGATTCTATGAAAACCAGGTGCTGCATCACAGTCCTCACAGGCAATGGCCATGTCACAGTGAGCTCAGACATGACCTCGTCACAGGAACGCAGCCTGAGACCTTTGAACTGTGCACGTACGACGGCTGGTTCATGGAAGGTGTCAGGGCCTATTGTTGCAGTTGCAGTGCCATCGTCATTGCGTTTCATGACCACGTCCCCCTGCCTGATGACGTAGCCCTGGTCATCTGCGTCATCGTACACGTAACAGCATCCGAGCACTGGTACGCCTGCACAGGACAATTGCCTGAGCTCACTGACAACGTGCTGTGCACTGAAGGCTGCGACAACCGGCACAGAGTTCAGTTCCAGCCATCTCATGAACTCGTCCAATGCCAACCTTGTCAACCTTGTCAATGACCTGGTCACCTGGTACATGATCAAGACTGCCGACTTTGACCAGGTCATCGGTGCCTGTTCCTCTGGCCATGAGACCGTCCCGTGTCACTAGCAGATCGATCTCAGGCTGCTTGATCCTGTACGTGAGACTCGTGTCACAGCCGATTGCAATGACACCGTCGCATGGCAGGGGTTCAGCTGCCAGACGCCTATTGATCTGACCCAGGCCAAGCTCGTGACGTCGGTACAGGCACGGGGGACAGTCCAAGATGTCGATCAATGGCCACGGCTTGGCATAGGGCCTTTTCACAGGCACAGTTTCCTGGCCGACTGCAAGGTGACCGATTGCAATGAGCTGACCATCAGGCATCCACTCGCACCTGACGATGTCTGGCCTTGACGTGCGTACATTGACCTGTGAGTTGAGGTAATGGCCGATGACAGTGAGCAATGGATCAGTCCTGCAAAGGACCCAGAGGCAGCCATTGTCAATGAGCCAGGCGGATTCGCCATTGGGCTTGGGCAAGTACACGTGACCCGGACCAGGCGACGTTGCAGCATAGACCACAGGCACGTCAGCGACACGGACTGAGCACATGAACAAGGTGTCCAGGGCCCGTTGCATCTGATCACCGCATCCGGCCTGTTCGGCTACGTACTCGACGGCCTTTAGCCAATCGACATTGCCTGGGGGCATGTCACTGGTCCATTCCAGCTCAGCCAGCCTGTCGTTCGATGGCCTGATCAAGGACGTGCGCACGTGCCAGTTCGTGTCCTCGACCTGCCATTCGTGTGACTGGATCATGTGCTTGTACTGCCAAACTGGATCCGATTGCAAGCCCAGGACCTTTGACCACTCCTTTGACACAGCCACTGTCATGCACCAGGCCAGGTCCAATTTGACCAGCGTTGACTTGGCCTCGAGCTTGACCCCATTTCTGAGCCTGACACGTGCTCCTGTGCTGTTGCCTGAGTCATTTACAGTGCACGTGAGCCCTGTTTCATGCCAAGTCCTCGTTCCAACGCCCATGAGCTCAGCAGCTTTGATCATGCCATCGGCGACAGCTCCAGTCAGCCTGAGCTCGTACTCGATCACTGGGACTGCGACAGTGACCCTGTTGCATTGTTCGAGCACGCGGTCCTTGGGCACCAGTCTGATGCAACCGGCTTGCCTCTGGATCCGCTCAAAGGCAAGGAGCAGCTGTTGGCTGGGTGCCTGTTCCACGTTGCATTGACATCGAACGAGCTCTGGTGCCTCGTCAGGGCCTAATCGCACTGTTTCCCAGACTCCGGCCTTGGACTTGCCACAGAACTTGCACCTGTCATTGGACGCCATCCTGGACTCTGGTGGGATGAACAACGCGTTGGCTGAGCACTTTAGTCATGGATTCAGCTCGCACTGCCTACGTACGAGTGTTCAGGCAAGGCAGTCGCAGGGACATGGCACCTCTGCCTACGTCGTTTGCCTACA